CAGAATGCATTATTTAAGTGGCAACAAGCTTGTCAAAAATGGAGCGTTATGGTGTGAACTGTATGTTTAATATATCTGTTTTCATTGCAAATAGTAGTAGGCTATATAGTACATTTTTTCAGTGGAGGACAAATACTGGTTTTCTAATTTATAATCCTTAACCATATAAAGACATTTTTCAAAGCTTGTGACTCCAGGAGTTGTGCTGAAAAAGGGATGAATGATGAATTAAGACTTGCAGGGGGGTAGGAAGACAACAAGATATATATGGGATAAATGTATTTTCATGGGAATGATGAGACTTTTCAAAGCAAGTTTGCACAGCTATCCTTGTTAGGACATTCCATTGACTTCATAATTGTGTACAGCCTGACCCAGCCCCTTACCCTAACCTTAACCCTAACCAATTCATACCTACCCCTAACCTTAATCTAACCTCAATTCAAAAGAGTTCCCAAATAAACACTTATCTAACCCTAACCCAGTCAGTGACTTCACACTGTTGTAAACCTGAGAAAAATAGTTTTGTTTCAAAATGTTTTGCCACATTAGAACCGGCATCTGGTCCCCATGAGGACTAGTAGTCCCAACAAGGTCAGTGTTTAGAAAAAGTCCCCAGTAGGTTACTAAATGTGTGTTTTAATTCCATTCAATTCAATTTTATTTATTAGTTTTACTGGGTGATTAATACTGTAATTCTGTATTGATCATTTAAGATGAGCACCAGACTGAAACGCTTCATTAAACAGATGTACTGACGGCTAGGTAACACTAACAATTAGGTTTTGAGCCAATCTGCCTATTTTTGTACATTAATTTATAGCAATAGCATTGTGCTGTAAAATTCAATAAGCTGTGTTTCTTAATAGTTCAGTTTACCAGCAAACCAAGTACCGTAACATTACTGTGTTCTTCAACACAGAAGAAGGCAGCTTATTAACAAGCTATCAACAAGCTCCATATCTGAAATCTTACAAATTATCTTCAAATTCTGCACAACACACAAACTCATCCTGCAGCTTTCACCCAGAGTGATTGCAGTGCTATCTTCTTTTATCCACAAAGATCCTGCCACTCCAGCAGAAAATAGTTGTCAGTGTGGGGGTACAAAATGAACAAAATATAAATGATGAAGTCAAAACATGAGCCAGGCCTTAGCCCTTCCCCTTTATTTATTGTACAAATATATCTAGGAGACAGAGACAGAGCTTGTCTGATGCCAGGGCTCCACTGACCTGTAGCCACAGCACACTTGCAAAACAAAATCGTGCCAGAGACAAACAGCAGATAGGCCATATTTCTTGGTCCCAGTGACAGAGGGCCCGGCTCAGCAGGGGCCTCCTGCTCCAGTCAGCCTCGCTTGTTTTCTGGGCAGTGCTCCCTAATAGTCGGATGAGCAGATACAAGCTAATCGAGGACTTTGCACGGACTCTAGGAGGTCAGGGGTGAAACAGATTGATAGATGTCTTCCTGCATGCACCTTCTGCTGAGCAAACAACCTAATGGCAGAGATGTCCTGTGCAAGTCTTCTCTCTCACTTTGTCAGGGACAGGTCTTCATTTAGCTCACTAATCTTTGCATTAATTATATTATTATATTAAGTTTCTGCATCTGCTATCATTTACTAAAACTTGTAAAAATTATGAATGGGGGAAAGTGTAGCAATGGCTGATGACTGACAGGACATTATTGATTAATTATTGATTTAAAGTAGATTCAATGTAGACTCTCAGAGTAACCTTGCCACTAACTGTTTATAGAATTGTACATAAGGAAATGCTGCTGCAAGAGGCTACAAAAATTGATGGGAATTTTTTAATGAACCATCACCCCTGATTTGGCTCAGCTCATTAATAAGAGTTGGCTCTTTCAGCTCTTAGTACAACTTCTGACTTTTATAATTCAGCCAATATTAGCAAAGTTTTGATCTACTATGATTGGCATGTGTGCACATGTATTACTATAATTTCCCAAATACCATAATTTTACATTACCCTTGGTATAAAAACCTTTATGTACAAACATCAGACACAATTACCATCTGTATTGGATGATTTATTTATATAGAACTATGTTTTGTATGTTGGCAACTGGCGCAATATACAAAAGTTATTATCAAAGTGAGATGTTTCTGTATTGTATCTAACAAATATGTTGTAAGATCATCCTAGTAGTCCGTCTCTTTTAATAATTAATTAATTAATTAAAGAAAAAAAGGAATTGTCTCTCAGACAGGAGCCGACTCGTTCACACACAATACATCACTATCTTCTAAAACATGATCAACAATGAAAACTAATATATACAGTATATGTGTACATATATACACATGTGTTTAAAACCATGTGAAGAATGTCTGACTATTTCTGACAACATATGTTTTTGTTTGTATAAAAATGAGATACTTCCAATAATTAGGCATTTTCATCTTAGTGTCCTCAGGTCACCAAAGGGGGGTGCCAACTTCAGCACTGAGCATTTATTCATTTAACTTTTTCCACCCTAACCGCTTTATATATCTTCAACTTCAATGTCAAGCAATGTTAAAAAATGTGCACTTTTTAGTGCAGATTTCTCATTAGGAGAACTATAGTTCTGTGGTTTTAGGGGCGGAGCAAAATAACAGGGTGTCCATTGGGTGACATGGAGACTTTAAGGGGCTTATATTCTGTCAATATCAATATTCATATCATCAATACTTGCTTGGAAAAGCAAACAAAAGAATATTACATTATTGTGGCACATTACTAAAACATTGAATAAAGGTGGCATTAGAAATCAATAAATTGTTTTATTTTCAAATCTTCTGACATTTTTCCAGATACATGTCTTTTCATTGAACTTACCTATCACTGAGTCTAAAATGTGACCATAACAGATCATTAAAGTAATATCTGTTTTTTAGCATTTCAAATTAATCTAAATGAATGTGTTAAATTTGACAGCATTTGACACCAGACTGGGGTGGCCAGGCTTTTTTTTAGGGTTGGCTGTTGCCACCCTTCTAGATATGCCCCTGCCTGGTTGACCCAATTATTACCCATGTGCCTTGTGTAGACTGATTTCTTGTATAATTTATTTAGGGCATTTGTTAGATAACCAACCAAGTAGAGACATGGCAAGAAACAATGGAAATACACAGACTTGACTCTGAGAAAAAAGTGAAGCTGTCCTTCTTATACATTGTCTAATTGGGACAAATGGCATTAAAGGAAAGCCAAATGAACCGCATCTCGTCAAGGACAGTCAGGGGTCTGGAAGATTTTACCAAGAGTAATCGTCCTGAGACCATGAGGAAGTGGAGCCTGCAGATAGAGATACCTTCGCTTTTCTGTGGAGACTAAAGCCAGCTGACAGTCCAGAGAGTGACAGTTATCAAAAAGATTGAATGGATGTGAATGTTTTATGTTGACTTCCTCCTGTTTCCTGTCTTTAAAATCAGCAGTGTTCTAATAGCTGAGGACCCTCAGCTTTGTTCGTGTTTCCACACACTGACCCTCGGCAGCATGGCGGATCCTCAGCAGCCACCCACTGCTTCCTGCCTCAGCTATAAATAGACAGTTTGACTTTCCATAGCGCTTACCAAGCAAAATGCCCTGTCAGAGTCAATTATATTAATGCCAGTGTGTTTCATTCTGCTGAAACGTGCTGGTACAGTCAACCTGTGCAGATAAATATAGAGATCTAATGAATTGGCCTACATTGTTTCACTACCCAGAGTTAAAATAAACCGACAAGCACCATAAACAGAATCTATATAATGATGTATGCAGTGGTGTCAACCTGGGGTCCAGAGACCCCCAGGGTCATGGGTATCACACTCTATAATGTTAATCTGCCAATGTACAGTATAGACTGGAATAACTAAATATTATCAGACCAGGTTCAGTATGGTCCGTGGCCTGCAGGGGCGGATCTATAGAAATATTCATGGGGTGTCCAGTGGGTGGCATTAAATATGTATATTCTGATTTAATTTAAACAATCACATTTATAAATATTTGCCCCCAAATGACGATGTTTGAACTCAAAAACATTACATTATTGTGTCAAATTGTAAAAGCATTGAATAGAAATATCTAATTAGAAATAAATCTAAATTTTTTCAAATACATGTTTTTCCATTGAACTGAAAGCTATCGCTGCACTCTAAAAGTTAATTCAGTGGACCTGTTGTCACCACTTAATCAAATGCATGGTTGCAACATAAAACTTCTAATTTATTGATTTGGATAAACCTTTTAAACTAACATTATTTTTGACAAGTTTTAGAAATGTTTAGATTAGAAGCCTAATCAACTTAAAAAAACGTGTGTTTATGCTACCAATTCTAAAGTAAGGTGGTGGTAATTAAAAATATATTTGATTGTAGAGGAGATCTCCATGCAATACATTTGTTAATTTCATTAGAAGTTAGGTTGCATAAATTTTTTTTTGGTTGAGCCAAAGTTAGAGTGTGAGTCTATAACAGAACATTAAATTATTTTTTGCTTTTTAATATGTTATTTTTAAAATTATTCTAAATCAATTAGCTAAACTGTACAGCATTGAGAACCAGTGGCGTACAACATCTGTTAGGGCTATTTAGATTAATGCAAAAAGAATGTCCAACACCTAATTAGCATAATATGCAATATATATCCGAATTAATGCTAATAATGTGTATTCCAAATACAGTTGGCAGAGCTTTCGGTCGGGTGTATTAGGCAGAAAGTTATCTCGAATTAAAAGTAATTTGCAGAGCAGATGATAGTCAATAAAAAAATATCTTTTACAGCTTTAGCTGATGAGTTTATTCATTTGTTCTGCCAAACTTTTTGTGTCTATGTGTGCGGTTGTGGGTGCGCGCACATTCAGTGTAAGCCCTCCATCAGCACCGTTCTGTCCAGGCATTTTCACCGAGGCAGCGAGCATCCGTCACGTGACTCCACGTCTACCAATGGCGTTGCCTCAGTCTAACTTTTGCGATAAGGGAATCGCAGTAAAGAGCGAGCGGGCTGAAGGATTTTCACTCTGAGATCTTCAATGGTCATCATCACACGCGCACTGACCGGCCCCACTGGCTCTTGAACCAGCACCGTTATCCGGATTTGTACTGGTCTTTTTTTTAATTTAGCTCTCCTCTGCAGCCCATGCAAGGCTGCAGCATCACCTACATCCAGGTTCTAACTATCAGACAATCGTCACTGACTGGCCGCGGTCTACTGTTCAGATGTTGGGAGACAAGGCTCAGGGTAAGTCTATCCTGTTCTGCAGAGACAGCCTGCAAGTCCATGATATTCCATTAATACCGTTCATATATTATTTGATTTGATTTAAAGCCAATAAATCCAGGTAAATGCTGAAACAAGGAGTTAGTGGCCTAAAGCTGCTTAACTCTAGAGCATCTAGAGATCCAGAACATCTGCAGTTATTAAGTCAATTGTCTGATAAGGAAAATACAGCAAGTTTTGTAGGCAGACACAGTTTTAATACCCTTATAGAACGGCAATTAACCGAAAGTTGGGCTGTTTATTTAAAAAAAAACTTTTAAGAAGGATAGCAGAAATTGTGAAATATTTGTGACAATACACCATTTACAAAAATAAAATAGAATTTAATGAAATAGAATAAAAGTATATAATAATTAGCAGCCTAGTGATACAATTTGAAACATTATGACTGTGAATCTCTTGAAATCCCAATAATGTAGATAGAACAATTTAAAATAAAGTTTTACATTTAAACATAAACATTTAAGAATGTAAAAACACCCATAAAATAGGCCTAATAATAATAATAATAATAATAATAATAATAATAAGGTTCATAATAATACTTATAATAATAATCTTTTAAATGTGGCGTTTGCGTATGATCCTTATACACCTGTACCGCCGACGGCGCGCGGCGGCGGCACCACTCTCTCATCTTCTGACAATCCGCGAGACCAGAGTGCGTGCCCCCCGGACTGTTTCACGGGCCGCGTGACGCCTCCGTTTCCTCGGCCTGGGCGTCTGCCGCTGATTGCTCGCGTCCTCCACCTTATTCAGCGCAATTCAACTCTTTCTTCATCAATTTGGCGTCTTGTCGGCAGCGGGGTAATATTTTGTTTCACAAGCCGACTGTGAGCGACTGTAGGCTACACGGCGGCTGCTTGTTTCTGCCGTTTCGGACCGAGCGTGTCTGTTTCATCCTAGTTATCGCTGCATAGGCTAAAGTTAGGGACTCATTATTTTTCTCCTCACTTCTTATGTCGCCAACCTGTAGCTGCTAACACTGTCAGCGCTATATAGTCTAGAAATAAAGTGTTTAATGTTTTGCGCTTATTCGGTAGATTCTGTGGAGGTTAAAACTAACTAAATTAACCATATTTGACTTTGAAGAATAGTTTGGCTACCGTATTATAATAGGCCTATGGGCAAATAAATTCACAGTCTAACTATTGTGTGTATATTTGGAGCGGGTTCAAACTGATGGATTTAATACAAAAGAAAAAAACGGAATACATTCCTATGAGTGCTGGTTATTAGTTCTAGTGGATGAGCTAGGTTGTAGCCTACAACTACTTGAAAAAGTCACATTTTAAATGGCTTTCTCAGCCCGTATAATACGTAAAGCCTGTAACTTTTAACGGTGAGAATGTTACTGAAAAAATGAGTAGTTTGATAATGTCAACTCAAACAGAAAATGTCCTACTCCAATGTATATTAAAACTGTTCCATTTAGATGCTACATTTTGGATAGATGTATTCTTTTGGAAGCGTATTCATCTTAATTTATACAGTTATTATATAACACTATAAACAGTATTTTAATTAGGCTTTATTATTGAAAGCATTCCTTCATTCATTTTGAAATATAGGCTACAATATATAGGCTATTACATGAATATAGGCTATTATATAAATATAATAATTATGATTTTACATTACATTTAATAATGAAATAAATGCACACATACGCACCAGAATTTTAAAACAAATGTCAGTGTCAGTTTGTTTAATACATCTTTTTATTATATTCATTTTTGCGTCAGATCAAAATACATTCAAAGTGAAAAAAAAATAAATACAACTCGGCAGCTTGGAAACTATTCACATAGATTCAACTGTTCTAAAATAACGAAGTAATTTAAGTTTAAAAGAAAAACAGACAGCACATTATTATTTTTGCGCAGTTGAAGAAAAACACTCGTCTTTCAAACTGATGTCAGACGGGATCAAATGAATTGCCTCGCCGTGATTGTAACTCGCATGATGCGTGGGCTTTTTAAATTCATGTATTTTTCTTCATAAATCACCGACAGAAAATTCTGTATGATGCATTTGCATTGGAAATACACTTAGTGCACTTTGTCTCTGGTGGATGCATGTGTGCGGTGGTCTGTGTGTGGTGTGTGTGTGTGTGTGTGTGTGTGTGTGTGTGTGTGTGTGTGTGTGTGTGTGTAACAGGTGTGACTTTGAAGGTTATGGAATACACATATGACGATGACCTGGAAGAGCTGTGTCCTGTGTGTGGAGACAAAGTGTCCGGATACCACTACGGTCTGCTCACCTGCGAGAGCTGCAAGGTAACACACACACACACACACACACACACACACACACACACACACACACACACACACACACTGACACAAACAGAAACACGTGGGTAAATGACACTGCACGGCATTTTCACTGTTATCTAGGCCTGTTACTGATCGTTCCAAACACCAAATCCTGAGTAATATTTGCTGTTTAAACGGGGGCTGTCATTGTGGTCGATAAAATAAAACTTCTCCCTGACTGATGCGACATTTTAAAAGATTTTTCGCTATTTCAAACCTGTTTTTCTCCTTTGCCAAAGCTATGAAAGTAAAAGAGAAAAATGCTGTATTGCATTTACCCACGCCAGCTAAGCTACAGACAGTCCCTAAGCGCTTGATTTTACGTTTTCAATGTTTTATTTCTAGGCCACAAGTTCGCCTCCTAATAACGTTTAATACCGTGTCCTCTATCCTCTCTGCTCTCTCTAATGTGTCTGTGTCTGTCTTTCAGGGCTTCTTCAAGAGGACAGTGCAGAACAACAAGAGGTACACGTGTGCGGAGAACCAGGAGTGTAAAATAGACAAAACCCAGAGGAAGAGATGTCCCTTCTGTCGCTTCCAAAAGTGCCTCAGCGTCGGGATGCGGCTAGAAGGTACACATTAATGTATACAATCCGTTATTAAAACAGACAAAATGTTGTCATAATAATAATAATAATAATATAATAATAATAATAATAATAATATAATAATAATCATATGCTATTATTTCATACTTTTCATTTCTTATAATGTATTTCATAGGGAACTTTCTTATTTTTTTAAATTCATTTTTAAAATAATTGTATCATATGATTACACCTTTTTTTTTGGGTTAAGGCTATTTTTTAAAATCATATTCACAACTAAAAACCCATTTGATATGTCTTTCCTTGGTGGCTGGTGGTTCTCATGCTGTTTCCAATACACATGGGATGGGATTAATTCCCAGACAGCAATGCAGGAAAGCACCTGCTTCCGTAGCAGAAAAAGGACACATTCTTGACTTACTGATAAAACCCCCAAGACTCCCCTGTTTTAAATCAAAAGCTCTATTTAGGCTACAAGGAGGAGTAGAGCTGCACAGACTCTGGGGATTCTTCTCAGCCCTAAAAAAAGGAAGCAAAAATGACCAACATGTCTGTTATTTATTCTGTAGGAATAGTTGGGAATACTGGTAAATTGCAGGTTATCATTTTACTCTCTGCTGTTACAGTTCAATGCTCGTCAGGGGTTTTTGTAAAGGTGATCTTGGCAGTGCAGGATAATTCAGTAGAGTCTGTGTTCCATTTGTAAATCTGTTTTTCACCTCTTGTCTCTTGTGTGACAGCGGTGCGCGCAGACCGCATGCGTGGGGGGAGGAATAAATTTGGCCCCATGTACAAGAGAGACAGGGCCTTGAAGCAGCAGAAGAAGGCTTTGATACGATCCAACGGGTTCAAGCTGGAGAGTGCAGCTCCTCCGCCGGCCTCTCCTCTGCAGACTGACTACGGCTTCACCGGCACCCTGCACAGCCTGCCCACCATCTCCAAAAGTCTGCTCCCCTCCACCCCGAGCTCCATCACCCCTACAGACTACGAGGCCAACCTCTATGGACCCCCATCTCTGGGCATGGCCATGCAGTCGCATGTGCCCCTCAGCACTCAGTACCAGTACACAGCCTTCCCCGGCAGGGCGATTAAAGCTGAGTGTCCCGACTACACCAGCTCCCCCGAGTCTCTGACAGGATACCCCTACCCAGACATGTACCCCTCAACCTCACCACAGCCCCCCAGCCTGCCACCACTGGTGCTGGAGCTGCTGCGCTGTGATCCAGATGAACTGGTGGTGCAGAATAAGATTGTTGCTCATCTGCAGCAGGAGCAGAGTGGCCGGGGACGCCTGGACAAGCCCAGCACCTTCAGCCTCATGTGTCGCATGGCAGACCAAACTCTCTTCTCCATAGTGGAGTGGGCCCGGAGCTGCATCTTCTTCAAGGAGCTCAGGGTAAGTCCCAAGACCTTTATTCTGTCCTTGTGCTCACACATGCATTCATGCACATACTACGAACAGTGGGGAATGGTCAAATTTTTACAGCTGCACTCCACTAAAACTCTTACACTCTTATAAATGTCTATATCACAAATTCAGAATACAGCTTTTCTTTGTCTCCCCTCCATTAACGCTGCTTTATACAGATGCTACACAATCCATACAGTTTTGTTAACATCCTATAAAAAGTGACGGTCCTATTTTTGTGGCATTATAAGAAAATAATTTGTCAAATAAGAATGAAATTGCTGCCAAACCCCCAAATCTGAATTCTCCTGTGTGTTGGTACTAACACAGACATGGACATCCATCAAAAAACAGATAGTGTCACTCATTTATGCTTCCCTTTTCACACAGAAAAAAGAGGGCAAAAAGTAACACAATGAAGACCTTCAATGAAAAGATAGGCAGGGAGTATGCACTGATTATAAAATAATCTCTCATTTTACGGCACAATTTTTCAGTTTGTTTGGTTTCTTATTTCCCTGTGCTTTCTTTTCAACACTGTTGTATGTGTTTAAAACTGTTGTAACAATGTATCAATAAATCAACTGGTTTGGGAGGCAAACTTTTGAATTGAATTGAACGCCACATTCTTTTTCTCTCCCTGAGCCAGTCTGCTCAGACTGGAACAGACCTGGTCCAGATTGGCCGGATTAGTCGTGATGTCTGTGTGAAAGCTTCTAACACTGCACCTTCTCCCATTAAACATAAGGAAAATCAAAAACAAACTTGGAAAATAAATATTAATATCTCAGATTGTATTATGAAATTTGGATGAATACTGTAAAGGCATTACAAGTCATAACTAATACAATTAATGCTGTCACAGCCATGTCACCGCCCTAAAGACTTTGGTTTGGTTTAAACTCTGTAGTTGTTTTAGCAACAAAAGCTGAGAGAAAGTCCTCAGTCTGTATTGAGTGAAGCCTTTAGAGATGGATGGATGTCCCAAAAAACGTTAATCACATTACGCTTTTGCAAGGACAGGTCATCCTGTTCTTTCTTTTTTCTGTTTTCTATCTGTTTCTGTTACTTATTCTCATACAGCACCAAAATAACAATAGCGTGGTTACATAACATTTTGCTTTGCTAAAAAGTAATAAGAAAGGTTATTTTAAGAGGAGGTGGCTTGTTGTAGGTCTGTTTTAATAGAGGTCACAGGCTGCTTAGAGGCCTTTTCAGTACAAAAAAATACATGAATGCATTAAAAACTGATGACGTTGACTCATACACCCACAATCCACTGTGGACTTGCAGCCTACAAAACAGCATATTTTTGCAACCAATCAGAGCCGAGAAAACTAGCTGATTGTTGAGTCTCATTCCCAGGGCATCAAATACAGATGCTTTTAATGAAACTCAGAAATCATCTATCTTCAAGCCACCAACCCAAAGTGTCTTTATATCTTTCCTGGCTCTGATTGGTTGTTTTAGTCTAGGCCTGGTGGATTCTTGCAAATGCCATTAGGAGTGGTAGGATAAGCCAGAGGAACCGTTTTTTTTCACAGATTATCTGTCTCGGGATATAGTGAAAGTTTCAGCAAATATGACCCAAAGCTTTTTTTAATTAAAGTTACCTACTGCAGCATTAATGCTTACTGTGATGGCTACTTAACTTACATTATGGTAATGACTGAAGACCAGAAGGCAAAACAATCTGCTCTGCTCGACAATAATAATGTAGAGCATACATGATTTGAACTAAAAAATGCACAAGTACTAGAATAAGAATAGTCCCTAGTGACTGTATAGACATTTCATTAAATGATGTTGCATCATAACACACATTACAACACTTCACGAGTCTCACAACAGCACTATGGTCTCGAGGGAAACCATAGCTAATCTTACAGCTGCCAATTCATTATCTAGGCGTCTAGTGAAGAAAGCTCACACTTGGTGGAAATTTCAGTATTATTAGCAAACACAGAAAACAACACAGAACAGTGCGAGTTCTGCCTTCCAGCTGTGCCTGAGTTTGCTTAATGAAACACACGTTTTTTGGTTTCCATTCTCTTTTATGCGGTTACATTGTTCTGTTGTCTTAAAGCCTAGAATACATCTCATTAATATTTCTCTTGTCTTTATTTGCATATTTGGTGTTGAGGTTAATTAGTAACTGACTAAATTTGATTACATTTTTAAGGTTTTGCTGTTCCATATTAACACATAAACACATGTTTTATAGAAATGTACAAACAGAGATGTTTGAACATTTCTCTTTATTTATATTCACAGCTTAATGTACGGTAACAGACAAGTCAGCTTATTCTTTAGTGTAATGATGTAAAATACAAAGTTACTGTAATGAGGAGTGAGTCTGGAGTGTTTTAGCAATATGGTGGAATACCTTTAGCCTTGTAAGGGTAATTGTTCCTTGCTGGTGTCACTGCACACACACACACACACACACACACACACACACACACACACACACACACACACACACACACACACACACACACACACACACACACACCTCTGAGGATAAGAACTGGACATACATCAGTGTCCCACTCCATCATCTCGAGCACTGTGATTGTCTTTGTGAGCTGTGCCACAGACACACTGCAGTATTGGACAGTTCAGATGATATAGTGACAGTCAAATTTAACGCTGGAGAAATCAGTGCTGTTGTTCTGGTTAACTGTGCTGCTGCTGACAATATGGCTGAATGAATAAACTGACTGCTCCAAGTGAAAATGGAGGATTATAATTCTCGTCTGACAAAATCAGGCCAGTTACTCAACAATGAAGAAAATATTACCCTTCTCTGTGAGCCATGATATAATCTGTCTGTGCTGACAAACAAACATCTGTCAGAAAGCCATGGTCAAACTGATTCCACCAATTAAACTGTTTAACTAGCAACAAAAGGTTGATTTTAGCCTTGGTGAGATTTGGTGAGATTCCTTCCTGTCTTTTGATCAAATACAATTTATTTACTCTCGAACATTCAGAGCAGGTCTGCTCCTTTCCTGCTTCACACTTATTCACTTGTTGACATTCATTTCTGGGACTGCCACAGGCTTGGACATGTGGTCACTAAGAACTGCACAGTGTTCTACTGCTGGTTACTAGGTTGGTTATAAACAGACTATGAGTATAGCTAGACTGTATAATTAAAAATAGATGTAGTCTCTGTGATATCGTCACATCTGAAGAGCCGTTGTGAAGCTCAGTCTGGTCAACTCTGGTCGTCACCATTTTGGCAGTCCTGGCTACACCGTCTAATCCAAAAATGGGCAAACAGGTGGAGCGTGGGTGGAGCTGAGAAGGGCTGAATGCCTGGTTACTGAAAACAGCTGCCTGTAACGGCGCACACCTGTCACTCAAAACAGGCATGACCTTAATTATGCATAACTTTAAGTCTTGATGTACTTCGAATGATCAAGTTGTATAAAAAAATCACCCCCGTACAGTTGTCATGAACAGGGGAATTAGCTATAGAGACCAAAAGTGTTTCTGTACCAGGCTGTAAATGTTTATTTCTAAAGGTGGGCATTTTAATATGGGGCCTTATGGCTGCAACAGTCTGAGTAAATTAACCAGTCAAAGAGTTAGTGCACCCAAGTTACAAATGAATAACTGAATTAAATATAAAAATAAAAAACACAAAATGATTGCAGATGAATGGAAGTTGGTTTGTAATAGTATTTCCATTTGTCCACAGAACACACTGTCAGAGCTTTCCTTCTTCAGTAGAAAGTAAAACAGTTGACAGTGTGTTAGGTGGAGTATATTTTTAATTTGGGTGCTCGATCCTTTAACTGGATGATTTACTCAGACTGATGCAGTGAAGGCAGTAGCAATCGTCTATGTTAACGTAATTTTACAATTATTTGGTCATTCACACAACACCACTAATACAGCAAAGCAATCTGATGCAACAAATAAGCGTTAAACATCAGTGCATCCTGGCATTTTGTGTTTCTATTTATCTGTTGAATAATCAGAATTTACAGCTGATTTCATAACATTTATTCTACTCTGTGTCCAAATACCAAAGCCATAGTATGAAAACGACTAAAAATGATGATTGAATTCTTAGTTTCTCAGAACATCCAGAAGAATTAGTCTTTTTCATTGTTACTTTTGTATCTTCCTTGTCTCAGAAACAAAGAGCACATTGTGGTGCTGATAAAATTTGTTGCATCTTCTCTGAGTAACAACAGGAAAGTATCTTTATACTGGCAGTGTTAGAGGGCTGAAATGCTCCTCTGCATTATTAAAACAGGAGAGAAGCACAGAGGCTGCTCATCTTTCATTATCACAGAATTGCTCCATAAAAAAGTCAAATCTTAATAACACATTAGTATTGAATCCTCCCCAACATATACAAGTTATTTATGCACATAAAATTCCAATGCTTGTCCAACAGTAGTGATTTTCCAGGATCTGAGAAATCCTCCAGTGCATGCAGGTTATGCGTTACATGCATGTGACAGCCTCTTCATCATGTTTAAAAATGTGCAGTGCTACTCTGAAAGCATAGTTCTGCAAGCTACCAATTGCTTGACACGGGAAGAAGTTGAATTACAACAAAACTAAACCTAGTTTGGTTAACAAAAGCTGCTTAGAAAAAGTAATTCAAATTACTTTGTAAAAAAATTATCAAGCAAATACAAATTTCAAATTCAGATTTAAAACACTAATAACTATAGCCGAATATTTTTGGCTTGCAATCCAGCAATTCCTGGCAATTCCTGGAGTACCCCTGAGACCTACATCTGTTCTAAACAAAACAATCTCATCTGGGCCTTTCACAAGGACAAGATTGCAAGGAATGTTATATTTCTGTTGTCAACAAATCTGAATTTTGTATTATCTGACTAAAAAAGTAAAGAAAAAAAATTATACTGACTTGTTTGAGCACTGGTCTAGAAAATGTTGTCTTTTCAGTTTTGCAACATCTCACTTGTACAATCTTAACAAGTAAAACAGTCTTCAAC